AGAGATTCCACATTGACAGCTGAATTACCAGTGAGGATAATAATTTTGACAGAATTTCCATACAAACGCTTCAACTCTTTAGCTGCCTCAATACCATCCATGTTTGGCATGTTAAGATCTGTAATCACCAACCTATGGCGTCGAATGTCAAAATTTTTAACTAATTCCTTTCCATCTGAGACAAAATCAGCTGTATATCCTGTAATACTTTCAATGAGTTTGAGGATGACTTTTCTATTGATAGCATTATCTTCTGCCAGAATAATCTTTGAATAAACTTCTGGAGAATTGGTAGCAGCAGATTCTTCACTCATTTCATGAACATTTGATAAAAGAGAAAGGTATCTCTGTTGAATTGAAAAATTCATCTTGGCTCCACTATTATCCCAATCAGAAAATTCCGCCTTTTTCATTATTTTGAAAGGTAGTGTGACAATAAATGTACTTCCTTTTTCTAGTTCAGATTCCACATCTATAGTTCCATCCATTTGTTTAATAAATTGTAAGACAGTAGTTAAGCCCAATCCTGATGATGGAACGTGAGATTCGTTCACATTGTGTAATTGAATAAATGGCTCGAAAATTTCCTTAATATTTGATTCTGGAATGCCACATCTGTTTTCATATTAGATGAGAAATAAAATTCCACAACATACCCATGATCCTTGATTTTAAATTCAACTCTAGCGAATTCTGCTGATTCCTCTTGGATTGTCTCTATAATTTTGGCTTCCAATTCGACAGTGTTATTCTTACTTGAGGCTTTAACTGCATTAGTTAGTAAGTTAGATAAAATTTGATGTAAACTTGATGGATTTGATTCAATAATTAGATTTTCAACTTGAGAATAGTCAAATTCCAACTTGACTGAAAAATGATTCGAATAACCAGAAATGACATCTTTAAGGGATTTTAGACATTCTCCCAAATTGAATGTTTTTAAATACTCATCTCGTTTGTCATTCTTTGAATTGAATTCAATTTTCATCAATTGTAACACTTCCTCAATGAGCATTAGCAAAATATTGTTGGATGAAATAATCATGTCAACCAGTCGATTTTGCTTGTCACTCATATTTGTTTCTTTCAATAATTCCAAACTTCCCAATGACGACAGCAATGGGCACCTAAATTCATGTGAAATGTGAGACAAAAATGTACTTTTTGATTCTAGAGCTGACTCTAGTTTCTTACTGGTTTCTTCCAAAGTTGCAACTTTCTGCCTCAAATAACCAGTCACATTAACCTTGTAATAGGTGAATACCCAAATACAACAAGTCATTGAAGCACATTCACAAGCTGAATCCACAAATGTCTCACTACATCCCTTCCTCACAAATTCCATCACAGA